AAGACTGGGGGGCGGGGTGTCATGATCTATTTTGATTTATTTTATTTAGAATATTTTTATCCTGTCTTACACAATCCAAGTGTCCCAGGGCAGCTTATAATAAATAGGTAATAAATACACGACAATCCAAAATACAATAACAAAGTACAATAAGAAAATAACAAAATGTGACTGGGAATATGATGATGATTAATATAATAAATATAATATAACATGATTTTCCTCTATAAGTACCCCAAAGGCTGTCCCAAAGAGGAAGGCCAAGATCTCTTCTTGCTGATGCCAGAGTGCAGGACATGGAATAATCAATTCAAGTTGCGGCAACCCAGATTTAGACTGGACATCAGGAAAAGCTTCCTCACGGTCAGAGCAATATGATGGTGGAACCAGCTGCCCGGAGAGGTGGGGGCCCTCCCACACTGGAGACATTCAGAAAGAAACTGGAGCCATCTGAGAGGGATGGTGAAGACTGAAGATCTGCAGCAACGGGTTGGACCAATGGCCATCCGGGTCCCTTCAACGCGTCTATTCTAAGATCCAAGTCTTGCAGAAAACCCCGGGAGGCAGGATCTTTATACGCTGCAAGGATGGCTGGTCAAGCGCGCTTCCATGATGGGGGCAGCGGAGGAGGTTGGGGGGTAGCGCTAGCCCCCTTCCCCCACATTAGTAACATCAACTGTCACCCCCTTATACTCTCCCGAGGTAAGCGGCAAGCCACACAGTGCCTGGGGGACATGGGGCTTCCCAGGAACAATATATTGCTTTTTATTGCGGTGTCTTTTGGGATGCCGTGCTCTGGAGCGGCTTTACAAAAGGCCTGTTCCCGGGGCGTGAAAACCTGCTTGTTGATGTGGACGAACACAACTACCAGTCATTGTGGCCACTCCTGGGGTGTGGCTTTCGGAACGGGCATGATGCGTGCCAAATGTCAAAATGTGTCCCTCCGCCAATGGGTAGCCTCCATTTTGCCTCTTTCAAAACGCAGCACCGTGCTGTTCCTATGAACGCGCTGCCTGATGTGGGAGCACGTGCACTGAGCACACACGAAGGATCCTTTGGCCCTGAGCACTGCCTGTGAAGAAAACTGGACACCCCACAAGTTAAAGATGCCAGGCAATGGCCAAGGGCATTCAAAACCGTTATTTATGAAAGCAGAATGCAAATGGAAGTCACGCAGCTGTAGCGTTAGACCGGGGTGTCCAAGAGGCGTCAGCACTGCAAAGGATAAAAGAGGGAAAGAATTTAAAGATCAGTGTCAGAGACCAGCAGTCTTCCGGCTCTTGGGCAGGATGATAATGATATTTATTAATTTAAAGCATTTATACACTGTCCAATTGTGCCACAGCACCTCTGGGTGGCTCACAACATGAGATAAAAACACAATAAAACATTATAAAAACCATAACATACTACACATTAGAAACAACAATAAAATGCAGTAAAGCATAAAAAACAAAGGTCTATGGCAATTAGTAAAATGTTTTTTTAAAAAAGGAAGGTCTCTGCCTGGCACTGAAAAGAAAGGAAGGTGCCAGGTGACCCTCCTTGGGGAGAGCATTCCAGAGTTGGGGAGCAGCTGCAGGCCAGGCCCTCCTCCTAGTGGCCACCCTAACAACAATATATTGATTATTGATTCTTAATTGTTAATAATAAAAATGATGAATATGATGTGGTGGTAAGGTACATGGAACACAGTGTGTGTGAGAGACGGACCACAATAGAGCAGAGGAGGTGCTGACGTTTGAAGAAGAAAGCGTTTTAATGTGGTTTCCAATCAGGCAGTCAAGCAGCGGCCGGGGAGTAAATGTCAGGCTGAAGCGGTGTGACTAACAGATTCAGCCCAAGACATGTCGCTGTCTGTGTCGGAGGAGGAGATTGTGCCACGTCCTCTCCACAGAGGCAGAAATCTGCTGGAAATCACGGATCTGCTCGATCTCCCACCCAGCTCCCCGCACAGTTTTATCTGATCCCACGGGGGAATGTAGGCTGAGAGGGGGGCCTGGCCCCCTGGCCCCCAGTGAGCTTCACCGCCAAACGGAGACTAGAACCCGGGTCTTCTGGACCTTTGCTCTGCTTCATGGTTGCTGTTCCTGCTGGCTACATGTGAAGAAGGCAGGTGGGGGAAGAAAACCTGCATCAGGATTTTGGATCTGTAACGGAGGGAATGATTTAAAAAAAAAAAAAGATTTGTGGGAAGCAAAGCAAATGCAGGATTTTTGGAAGAAGGCAGAGGCAGAGGATGGGGAATGCTGGCTGCAGAGAAAAGGAAGGCGACTCTGGCGGGAGAAAAGAGCCCAGGGAAACATGCAATGTCGAAAGGGATGGGCTGCCTGTTGGAGCACACCAAAGAATTTCAGAAGAGCAGTCTGTGCTGCACAGACTATAGCAATGCGTTTCACTGTGTGGGTTTTGAGGAGCTATGGATGGTCCTGAAGAAATGGGGGTGCCTCAGCCTGGACAGGAAGCTATGGGGAATATGGAGCAACTGGACCGTATCTATAGGCAAAGGTGTCAGACAAGAGAGTACTTTATCTCCATCAGTTCAGTCTGTACACAGAACACATCATTAGAGAAACTGGATTAGAGGAAGCAGGAGAGAAAATTGGCAGAAGAGGCATCAATAATTTGCCGGCAGAGAGAAACAATGAATTGAAACTACATACTCCTGATGACAGTGAAAGAAGAAAGTGCAAAAGCAGGGCCGCAACTGAACATCAAGAGCACAAAAAACATGACTACAGAAGAACTGCACAACTTTCCATGTCAGCAATGAAGAAATTGAAATTGTGACGGATTTTGCATACTGCCATCAATTCATGGGAGACGGCAGCCAAGAAATGAAAAGATCAGGACTTGGAAGGGCAGCAATGAAGGAACTAGGAAAGATCTTGAGTGCAAGGACATTTCATCGGAAACCGAAGCCAAGACCATTCACAGCACTGCATTCTCAATCAATATGCAGGATGTGGAAGCTGGGCGTTGAAAAGAGCTGGCAGGAAGAAAATGGGTGTGTTTGAAGGCTGGTGCCGGAGCGGAGCTTTGCAGATTCCCTGCCTGGACTGCCAGAAGGATGGTCATGCGGGTCCCCTATCAAGTTCAAGCACAATGAAGAACTGGCATTTCAGGCACACCATGAGAAAGCAAGACTCCCTGGAGGAGACAATCATGCAATCAAAGGCAGCAGAAGAAGAGGAAGACCAACTGGGAGATCTCTTGATTCCATCAAGGAAGATACAAGAAAAGATCAGGACATTTTGAGGGCCGCCACAAATTGGAGGCAACTGGCCAGCACGGAAGAGCAAGCGAGGAAATGGAAGCTGTCACCAGAGGAGGGGGAGAACCTGCCACAGGGAAGAGCCCCGTTGTCAGATGCAGGAGTTCAGCAGCATCAAGGTTAGGTATGGGTGGGCCCCCACCCCCAGGCGGGGAACCTGCGGACGGGACCCCCCAGAGCTGCCTCTGCTCTGCCCCATTGCAGCTCATCACGCTGGCATTGCATTCTTTTCATCACCATCTCAACATCTGTTTCTTTGCCCCCAGGAATTCTATGTGGGTTTATGTACCTGGGTGGTGACATGGCCTATTAATGCATCTTTGGCCTGTTTGTAGTTGTGATTTAGTGTTTCAAAAGCCCTGCTAAAGCATGTTTTGTAGGGTATCCTGGTACCCTAAGATGAGGGGTACTATGTCATTATTTTTAAATGAATTATAATTCTGAATGCTTTCAGGAGCATGAAAGGGGGAGAGAACTTTGAAGAAAGGTGCTTGGTGGCCCAAGAACATCACCAGGTTCGGCTGTGAAAAGGTGCTTGCAGTTGCCAGTGGAGCGGATGTGGGGTGGGCGACAGCCCGCTTGCGATCGTCTTTCTGGCTTGGGTTGTTCTAGCGAGCAAACTTCTAGGGGGGTGTCTGCCATGAAGCAAGTGCAACTTCCGTCACTGATCTCGTGGTTTGGGAGTAAGGCAGACAGGCAGCGACAGGAAGAGCCGCCTCTGCCCCCGCCGTGTCCTCCTGCAAGGGGAGGCATTCGCTGGAGGCACAGGGTGCAGGTGAGTGCGAGCGAGCAAGCAAGGGACCTCTCCTGAGCCGAGGGAAGGCTCGCTGGCCTGAGCCCCGGGAGGGAGACGGGGGCAAGCGGGCCAGGCACACCCCGCTCTGGCTCACATGAGCAGGCAGGGCTTGCATGGCCGAGCCCCTCTTCAGCTGCCGCTGCACCTCTGCTGAGAAGGTGCAAGCGCCGCGGATCCGGCAGGGCTACACCTAAGTCAGCATACACGGGGTCGCCCCGTAGTCAGTGCAGCTGCTTCGGTCTGCTCTGCAAGGGCCAGCAAGCTGGGCTGCGTGTGTGCCTCTGTTTTGAGGTGCAGGGGAAGGGATTAAGGGGAAGTGTGGGAAGGGGACAGGCCTGGGAGACGGAAGAGGCAGCAGGTGGGAAGGAGGTTCCTCGTGTTACTGCAGCTGCACCGACCACGCATTCTGCCGCGAGCACGTTCTGTGTGGAAGGCGGAGAGGGTGTTCACGCCGTGACCCCCGAGGCAAAGGGTGCCCAAGCCATTTCACTTCCGCACCAGGAAAGAGCGCTGGCCCCGACGGCTGCAGCATGCGACCTCCATTGTCGGAGGCAGCACAGCAGTTTCTGGGGGTGTGAGTGGGAGGGAGCGGGGGCGCCCACGTCCTACCTGTGGGTTTTCCGTGGCCACTGCATGGACTCAGTTCTGGATGAGATGGACCCTGGCCTGATCCAGTCCAGCAATTCTTAGGCTCTTGGAAGAGAATCAGTTCCTTTCGAAGTTTTAGGTGTCAAGTGAGGAAACTGCCAGATTAAGACCCAGCCCTGCGCATGTGTGGATGGACGAACAGCCTGCAACTGCCTAACGCGCAGACGACTGCAGCCTCGGTTGAGCAAATTCACCAGATTTTCTTTTCATTGCCTTGGCTCCAGAATATATAGCAAACTTTTTGGCATCCTCCTCACGAGTTTGACTCTTAACTTGCCGGAAATGGACGAACAAATGGGGGTCTATGAAAATTTTGAGCCCCATCAAGTGTGCAAGGAGAAAGTAACGGGAGCACCTACGGACTTAAAGAGTGAAGATAACTCTAACGGGAAAAGAAATGCTTGCCTTTTGGTCCTCGCTTTACTGACTGCAAGTTTGCTCTTATTTGCTGCATTAAGGATATTAAAGTGCTCCCTGGCTGCCCAGGACTACAGACAGATTCCTGGGGGGCCAGAGACACCCTCTTCCCCTTTGCAGAAACTGTGTCTCTGCTTCTTGGGGCCAAGCTCCATCTTCCTGGTACAGTCATATTCAAAGGCGTGTGGTCCTCTTGCTTCTCCTGGACCTTCAGCGGCTTTTGGCACCATCACCCATGGTGCCCTTTGGACAGGCTGGCTGGGCTGGGAGCTGGTGGCTCCACTCCTACCTGGCCAGACTTGTCCAGAAGGCAGTGCTGGGGGGCAGTTGCTCTGCCCCATGGCAATTATGCCATGGAGCTCCTTGGGGCCCCATGCTCTTCAATATCTACATGAAACTGCTGGGAGGGGTCATTTGGAGGGGGGGCTGAGGGGTCACCACTGCGAAGCACGGGATCTGTTGCTTGGGGGTGCTCCTGGACCCAACTATCACGTGTGTCTCAAGTGGACTCAATGGACAGGAACACCTTTCAGCTGCGCTTCGTTGCCCAACCGCAGCCCTCCTGGACAGCCAGACCTTCGCCACGGTGGCTCGCGCTTTGGTAGCCCCTTGGCTCGACCACTGAAACGCGCTCTAGGCAAGGCGTCCTCGCCCTGTGGCCTGCAGGCCTGCTTCCACGCTGCCCTGGGGGACGGGGGGCCATGCCCCCCATTGCCACCCCCTGCATTTTGGAGGAAGACATAGAATACCTGCACGCTACTTCCTCACAAGTAGCACGGCCCTTCCCTCCGGAAGCGCCATGTCTGCATGTCCAGGACCCGGGTTCATGTCTGGGGAGATGGCTGCACCCAGTCACCTGTCGCCAGTGCACACACAGCCAGCATGGAAACACGCTCCTCTTTTTCAATTGCTGGGTAACCCATTTTACAAGTTTCCAGGCACAAAATGAGAAACACGGTCCACATCCTCACAGCGTGATGTCCCGACCTTTGCAGCAGCTCCTGCCCCATCGTGTGTCCGCAGCCATTCCTGGTGCATCGTGGCAGCAGTCATTTCGTGGGCTGCGTTCGGAGCCATTGTGGCTTTCCTTGGCACCTGTAAGTATTTGTGCATATCAAGGCAAAAGGCTCTTAAAACATTTAATTGTTTTATTGATTTATTTGCTGCATTTATATCCTGCCTTTTCTCCTTCAAGAAACTCCAGGCAGCCTCCTGTGTGATCTGCCTCCTTTTCTCAATCTTATCCTCACCACCACCCTGTGAGGTCGGCCAGGCTAAGTGCCAGTGTCTGGCTCAAAGCGGCCCATGTGCTTCGTGGCCAATTGGGGCTGGGGCCCGGCTCTCCCCCGTCTCAGCCCACCCTCCAACCTCTGCCCGAACAGGAGGCAGACTTGCTTGCTTCTGGATGGTGCCGCATGGGGCGCTCGGCCCGCTGGCTCCCCCTGTGGGCACCGCCAGCCATGGCTTCTCTCTCACCTGTCCCGTCTCAGCAAAGGTGAGCAGAAGGTGCCGTCTTTTCTCTCCCTTTTCCTGCAGCCACCACCCCTGCGCACGTGCACGTAGGAAAGGTTTTTCTAAAAAAAAGGCCCTGAATATCTCCCCTTGCATCTCACGCACTACATGTGAACACAAGATCACACACTGAGCACAGTGGAAACAGCCCAGGAGTCCTTAGCATGTGCTAAACATGTTTTGCATAAATACTGAGGACGTGCTCCCACAGAAACAGAAATGATCAGTTATCGGGGGGGGGGGAGGTGATGGACTTGGCCCCAGGTCTGCAGTTCTGCTCCCCCCCCCAAACCACCATCATACACTGCAATAAAGAGTATGAATGGGGAAGGCCCTTAATCCATGTTGGGCTGCCAAGTGGCAATTATGCCACACACCGCGCGCGCGCGCGCGCACACACGCACACACACGCACACACCTCTCTCTCTCTCTCTCTCTCTCTCTCTCTCTCTCTCTCTCTCTCTCTCCACGTGCAAGAAGGAATTAAAATAATACCGAGATATTTCACCAGGAAAGATGAGAAATACGGGCCTTCCCAATCCTCCCCCAGTAACCTCCTCTTGCTCTTACAGCTCCTCGGTGTCCGAGCTGCCCCAGCCAGTGGGTGGAATACGAAGGCACTTGCTACTACTTCTCCCAAGCGAAGAAGAATTAGACTTCCAGCCAGGAATTCTGCTCTGCAGAGGCTTCCCATCTTCTAGTCATTAGCAGTTCCCGGGAAATGGTAACGAACACATCTACTTCAGCTTAATTAGTACCACTGCCTCGCCATTCTAGGGTGACTCCCAATATTAGAAAGCTCCATCTGGGAGTCCTCTGATGACGGGGTGTCAGCCTGGAAGGGGGGGGCCTCTTTCCCCTGCCCCACTCTCCACTCTGTCAGACAAGTTTAGAAGTATTTTTAATGCTGCTAAAAGCTGCATAAACAGAAATGCCAATGGCTCAGGCATATCGTCTTCAGCCCTGCTATTTCTGTTTCGAACGCTTGCTAAGCTATGAAGTACATTAAATGGCCTTTGGTTGGTCTTGATCTCTCAGCCTATTGTTTCATATTATTTCCTCCAAGCAGGCCTCACTTTGGCATACATGGTGTGCTGGCATCTTCTCAACACCCCTGTGAGGTAGATTCGGCTGAGTGAGAGAGGCTGACCCTTCTCTTCCATATCAGAACCCACAACTCTCTGTGTGCCTGTGCAAATACGGGTGGACCATTTTTATGACTCTCTGTTCTCACCTATTCTGCTCACGTCAAGCCACATTTCATTTGGTTTTCCTTCTGCTGCATCGTCAGACTGAGGGCTCTGGACAGACGTCATAACTGCAACATTTGAATTTCGGGACTTGTTGTGCCTTCCCCCGTCCCTTCTGCATTCGTACCCCTGAGCTCAGCCTTCCCCAGCTTGATGTTCTTCAGATTATGTTAGACTGCAATGCCCATCGTTCCCAGAGCTGCAGGCTATTGGAGAGGGCCCTTTGAGCTTGATGAAGAGCTCTGGAGACCCCGGAAACGTGTGCACACTTGTGATGTTGTGGCTTGACCAGGGAAGGGGCTGCCCAACTGTGCAGGCCCTTAATCTGTGTGTCCTTTCCCTGCTGGGACTCTGCTGCTGTTTCCTAGGAGTTCTTTCAAAAGACCTTGGCAGAAACCCACTGGATTGGACTCAGGAAGAACATTAACTCTGATGACTGGCTTTGGGAAGGTGTCTCAGGCATCAGTGTTAAAAAGTAAGACCCTGTGCATTTTCCTGGGGAATATCCATGCTCCTATTCTATTCTCTCCCTGCAAAATAGTGAAAACTTTTATGCAGGGACTTTTTAGAAAAGAATTGGAAACTCATTGAGAATCACTTCTCATGTACCACTCTTCATCAGCCTGGACCCCTTCAAATATTTTGGGCTACCACTCCCATTAATGATGACCATTGGCCATACTGAATGAGACTGAAGGGCTTGATAGTCCAAAGCATTGGAGGGCACTGGGGTTTGGAAAGTGACAGGTTGCGCAAGGGCCAACTTTTGAGTTTCAGGTTTTTTCATCAGGCACAATGTTAATAAAGCCAAGGGCTGACCTGACAATCCGCATGGCCAGTTTTCAGGGAAAAATTTAAGATGAAGTGCCAATTTAAAGGGATCGGACTCTGTTTGGTGTCGTAGCTTTCGGGTTCTATCTAGGACTGCTGGACTGGCATGCAAAACTGATTTCTTCCATTTTTGAGAAGATAACATCCAGGAGTTACCTGGATATGCCCCCAGCCTTCTTTGAGAATATTTAGTCCTGAGTATATCCAGAGAGGACTCTTAAAGCTTTTTCCTGCAAGGCTTCAAAGCCCCCTCCCAACAGCTGCATAAGCATAGGATCATTTGAAATAAAAGCTAACTCAATCTTGTGCATATCTTTCCTAGCGTCCTGTCCAACAGCCCTGTACAGCACTGTGGCGTTGTGTGGGAGGGCGGCATCCACGCCTCCAGCTGCGGAGTGGCCTTCCCGTGGATCTGTGAGACAACTCCCAAATGAGCTCACTTCTTCATTCCAGTCCCTCCGCTCGGTTTGGCTGCTGGCACGGGGCCCTGCAGGCCCAGGTCCAGTCGATCCACCCGTGTCCCACAGGAGGAAAGACTGAAGCTCAACAAGAGTAGCCTTTGGTGCCTTGGAAGTCCCACTTAATCAAATGGATTTACTCCATTAACACTGCAGCTTTAGCATTAGATGCAAAAGTGTTCTGCAGATCATTTGGATATTTTTGGAGCGTCCCGAGAGAGAGAGAGAGAGTGTGTGTGTGTGTGTGTGTGTGTGTGTGTGTGTGTGTGTGTGAGAGAGAGAGAGAGAGAGAGAGAGAGAGAGAGAGAGAGAGAGAGAGAGAGAGAGAGTTTTTAGCATTCTTACATGGATTTTGCCCCATTTATTGAAGCTGCATTCAGACAGTTGCCCTCTTATGTGTCTGTGATTTTAAGAGAAAATCTGGTCAAGCTAGATAAAATCTTTCTTCTCTGAGCTTGAAATAGCCTTTTTCAGTGGAACCTCCGCTCACGAACTTAATCCATTCCAGGACTCTGGTCGTGACCCAAGTTAAATTTCCCCATAAGGGTCAATGTAAGAAGGTTAATCTGTTCTGTACCATGTTTCTTTAATCAGAAAAATGTGAAGCAAAGTGACAAAGAACAACAAAGATCGGGGCCATCTCCCCCACCCCACCCCGAGCACAAGCACAGCCTTCTCCCCACCCCCGCCCCCAGCATTGTGCCCATCATCACGGTGTGCTGGGGGGGGGGAGAGGCACGATTGTGGGTGCACTGGGGAGGGGTGCAATCTCGGCCATCTCCCCCCCTCCGCCCTGAGTGGGGAGATGGCTGCAATCATGCTGGTTGGCGGGGGGGGGCGGGGGAATGGCCGCGATCGCCACCCAATGTGGAGTTTGAACATGTCAAAATGTTCATGAAATTTTTGTTCATGACCCAATTTGTTCCTGAGCCAAGGTGTTCGTGAGCTAAGGTACCACTGTAGCTGCTGATACAACACCTGAAGTATTCCAGTCTCCTGACTAATTGAGCAATCTCATCCAATTATATCTTCCTTTCCCAAGTTCTGTCTCTAACTTGTTTAAATAAAATCAAGTATTTTCTGCCCATTTCTTGCTGTGGTGACTAATATTCATACAAACAGCTGTTCCACAATGAAATATTATGTTGTAAATTGCCTGTTTAACATTGTAAATAAATGATAAATGAGCTAACTTTAAAGCTGAATTATGTCCACCTTAGAAAATGAGACCCATCAAAGCATTCAATGGGAATGAATGTGAGGTCTTGCACCTGGGACACAGGAACAGGTGTCACAGGTACAGGATGGGGGACACGTGGCTGGAGAGCAGCGCTTGTGAAAGGGACCTCGGGGTGCTGGTTGACTGCAGGCTGAACATGAGCCAGCTGTGTGATGCAGTGGTCAAGAGGGCACATGCCACCCTTGGCTACATAGCCAGAAGCGTGGCTTCCAGATCAGGGAGGTGCTGATTACCACTCCGCACGACTCTGGGTTCTGGACTCCACTTGACAGGAGACATAGCTAGGTGAGGATCGGTGCAGTCACCCACTGCCACTGGCCCTGCAAGCAGCCTGGTCTTGTTGAAGGGAGGCGATAAAGTTCTTGCCTAGATCCATGACTCATGCATCCTCTAAGACTTCTGGGACTGCAGTAAGGAAAACCCAAAGAGTCACTTCTGATATTCAGAAGCCATAATGTGGCCCCACAAAAGGCACCAGGGGCTGAAAAAGCCTGAATTTGGCTCTGGGCCAAATGACGGCTTCCAACATCCTGCGCAATGAGGACAACGGGGTTTCTTGGTCTTCCCAACTTGTTCTTCTCCTCAGGGTCCTGCCTGTGTATTGAACAAAGCAGTGGAGAAGCACATTGGGGGGGGGGGGGCTACCAGAGGGCATTCTGGGAAAATAGCTCATATAACCAAGAGGACTGTGGAGGGTGAGCAGTCCCACTGCCTGAGGGCTTTCGGGGTTGTGGCAGCTCATCCGTGGGACCCCCTGCCCTCATTTGTTCACCAAGTGCCTTTGTTGATCTTTTCAAGCAACAAAATAGTTTTTGATCCTCACTAGATTTTGGCTGCATGAAATTGTAATACTGTGGTGCTGTGGATGCAGAGCCGCTTCGTCTTGTTTTCCTGTGGATTTATCAACTGCTCTGAGGAGGTTTTTGCCCTGAGAGTCAGGGAATAGAACGGACACAGGCAACCTGGGTTCTGGCCAACAATTCCCACTGGCCTTGGCCTGCATAGGCAACTGTAAGGAATGATAGAAGCTGTAGTCTAAAACATGAGTGGATCGCAAGTTGCCCACCCCAACATAAAAGATTGACTAATTAAAGGGGGTGGACAAAATGGAAAGCGCCCTTGCTGTCAATCAGGGAAAGGCAAGGAGGCATCCAGGGCTCCACCGCATCCCAGCCCTCTTTCCCTCTGCCCAAGTTGCTCTACTTTGCCCCCTTTTAATTAACACATTCCCTTCCTGGCAGCCAGGCCGCTGTGAAAGAGCTGTTGGGGCTGGGAGGGTATCGATGTCAAAGCAGGCGCTGAAAAGTGGGCTCAAGGGAGTCCTTCAGTGAGCTGCTCCCCAGCTTGTGTTCAGGCAACTTCTCTCTGCCACGCCTCCCATGGCAGCCATTTTGTGGCATAGCTGGGAGAACTTCTCAAATCATCAGCGGCCCCCACAGCCTCCCACATGTGTCCCACCCCTGCTGGGAGCAGCACAGGAAGATGGTTCTGTGAGGTATTTCGGATACTCCGTCCTGCCATGTAAACTCTGACGGCGTTTCAGTGGTGAGCAACTGCTCAGACAGAAATCTCAGCTGAAGGCCAGGTCTTTTTAATCACTATCATTCTCATAAAGCCAGGAAGAAGAGAAGCAGCTTTAAGGAACCAGCTCCAGGTGAGACCCAGGGCAGTTTCCAGCTGAACCACAAGACGGGAGCCAGCCAGGCGGACCCCACTGAAGCCGCACGAGTGCAATCGACCGCCCAGGCACTGGGGCGTCACAGTGCATAGGAAATGAAATTAGGAGCCATTGTGGTGCCTACATAAATCACAGACCTGCTGCCTGGAGGCTAGTACCTGAGTAAAACCTGGAGGGATTTCCCGCCAGGACACGCAGTCCCACGGAGCCCATGGAAGGGCCACCCCCGAGCTCCCAGAACCTCTGCTTAAGATCTGAGTGTGGGGCTTTGCTGCCCGGGAGGACCAACCCCTGCCTCATCCCCACACCCTCCCCGGAAGGGTGAGGCGAGTCCTTCTGGCGACACGCAGCCCGGGGAGAGAGGTAGAGACCGCTGCGTTCGGCTGAGTCCAGGACTGCTTCAGGAGGAAGAGCGGGGGGCCTCTTCCGTCTTGTAGAGCTTGCGGAGGCTGGAGTCCATCAGGAAATCCACCGACCTGCAGGGCATGCAAGGGGAAGCAAAGCAAAAGGGATTCTTGCAAAAGGCATCTTTTAGTCTCTCCAGAGAAAAGTCCATATGGAATCACAAATTCCAGGGTAGGGAAGAATGGCTGCTGCCTACAAATGATCCAGATGATCCTGAAACTGCGAGGGTGACAGTCACCCCCGCCGGTTTTTTATTCAGTTAATTGAAAGTTTTTATGTCGTCCCATTACTAAAATGGCTTAGAACAAAAAAAAAGTACAAAGTAAACCATAACCATAACAACACACTGCATCTGATAAATAAGGATAAAAATAAGGATAAAACCAATTAATTGATAGAATATCAAGAAAGTAAAAAGGTCTTTGCCTGATGCTGAAAAGGAAAAAGCGATGGCACCAGGCGAACTGTGTGTTGTATAGTCAGGAGCCACCGCTGAAAAGGCCCTTCTCTGCGTACCTACCCTCCCGATTCCCTTCAAAGGGGACTCCCGGAGAAGGGCCTCTGTCTCCAATCTCAAGGGGCGGGGCGGCACACAGGGAAGAAGGCATCCTTCAGGTATCCAGGACCCAAGCCGTTTAGGGCCTTATAGGTCATTACCAACACCTTAAATGGGGCCCGGATTCCAACCGGAAGCCAGTGTAAACGATATAGGACCGGTATGACCGGAGCATCAGCCGGTCCCCGTGAATAACCTGGCAGCTCTATCCTGGACCAACTGAAGTATCCGGACCGTCTTCAAGGGCAGCCCCACGTTGAGTGCACTGCAATAGTCCAAACAGGCAGGGTACGGGTCACGCTGCCAGGCGCTGCTCATCCAGGCAAGGACGCAGCGGATGTGTCAGCCAAAGCTGAAGCAAAGTGCTCCCGGTGTGGCTTCCACAGCTCCCACCAGCGAGCCTCATGGCTGGGGACTGAAGGCCAGATCTCCCGGGTCCCCAGTCCAGCACGCCCAGCGCCATTCCACACCGGCTCTTTTAAAGACTGCTTCTTAAGGCCATGCGTTCATAGAGTGACTTAAATGAAAAAGGACGGCTCAGAACAAAATAGTTAAGTGACCGCATCACAAAATGGTGAACTGCTATGGAAACAAAATACTCAACCCATTTAGTCTTAAAGGCAGGTGTGAAGAGAAAAGCTTCTAGAGCTGGACCTACTTAAACAGTCCTCCTGCGGAGGGAAGGCACATACGACCCACCGGGAAGTTTCACGGCTGTGGGGCCACCACTGGGCAGGCCCTTTTCTCTCCTACTCACCCTATGAATGAATTTTGCTGCTGGGTACACAAAGGACCTTTAACCTAGATCGCAACGTGCAGGGAGGAGCACACAGGTGGAGGCTGGCCCGTGGGTGACGTGATCCTTTCGGAAACCGGCACCAGCACTTTTAGCTGGGCCCAGACATGGACCAGCAACCAGCATTCAGTGTGACATGCTCAGACTTTCTGGCCCCCATCAGCACTCAAGGGGCTGTCTTTTGCAACACTTGTGGCTTCTGGACCATCTTCCAGGGCAGCTGCACATAAAGGGCTTTGGAGTGGAAAAGTTTAGAATGATCTAAAGTTGGGCAACCCCTTCACGGATCACGGCTTGTCGTGGTGGAGAGACTAGCGTAGTGCAATGAAGGCATGAGCTATGCTGTGCAGGGGCACCCAAGACAGACAGGTCATAGCAGATACTGAAGATGAAACTCAAATACTCTGGCCACCTAATGAGAAGGAAGAAGAGCCTGATGCTGGGAACAATAGATGGCAAAAGAAGAAGGGGGGGGCAGAGGATGAGGGGGCTGGATGGGGTCACTGAAGCAGTCGGCGTGAGATTAGGTGGACCCTGGGAGATGGTGGAGGACAGGAAGGCCCGGAGGAATGTTGTCCGTGGGGTCGTGAAGAGTCGGGTATGACTTTGCAACTGAACAACAAAAGATGGGTAAACATACCTTGAGTGTCAGGCAAAAAGCTCTTTTATTTTTCAAGGCTTTTTCTCTCGGATGGGTTTTTTTCCTTTCCTGTGACGGTTTTGTAATGCCACTTTTAGCTCCAGTTACTGTTTTGTGTTTCCACGCGGGGATGGCAGAATTGCCTTCCAGCTGGGGGTCGTGCTTCATTCCCAGGGAAGCTTCCAGGGTGGGCACAGCTTAAGACAATGGTTTTGGGGCCAAAACATCCGCTTATTTGCTCTCAGTAACCACAGCTGTGCACAGGCATGTTGACCTTCTAAAATCTGGGGAAACTGCAGAAAAGTCCAGAAAGCACCGAATGACAAGAGTTGGTGGTTCTGGGAAACCTCAGTGGGCCAAAGATCTGCACCTTTGAGTTCTTGTCTTTTTCTGGCTGGTTGTAAAACTGTCCTATAAAAGTTGAATTGAAGAATGTCCTCAAATGTTTTAAAGGAAGTGACATAGAAACACAGAAACAGAGCAAGTCAGAAGGGGTCTCCCGGGCCATCTAGTCTGACCCCCGCCTCCAGCTCACGACATGCCCACCATGAGCACCACCTAGGAGAAAGTTCCTACAGCTCCATATACCATATGGAGATCACTCAGCACTTGAATGTGGATGAAAAGCAACACCAAGAGAGATATGCAGGCGGGCAAACATGGGCAGACTGTGAAGAAGGGGTTACTCACTGCAGAGTGGAAATTAGTCATTGGGGTGCCCCTGGCAGATCCAAGCACAACTGGATTTGCTGGGATCCTCCTGCACTGCAGAGAGAAGGCAACACTGCAGGTGATCAATAAGTCATGACATTCCCGAGCAACGGAAAACAACATGACGCTGCCGCCTCGCTGCTCGCCTGGGTCACCCTCTGGTTGGAACGTTCACTCGGAGCTGCGTGGGGATTTCATTCATGTGCTTTATTAAAGGGAATACGGAGACACAGTATAAATTAGAAGTGAGACCAAGTTTCTATTCTAATGCCGAAAGTAGAATAGAAAAGTGACTCAAAGCCATTTTTGGATCGAACGCTTTCGTTGAAATCTTATGAAGCAGGGGCTTCATAGAACACAAGTGGCACGGAACTTTCCCACAACAGCCGTGCTCCCTGGCCCAATCGCTCTGGAATATTGATTGTTTGGTGGTGTTCTGGCTTTTAAGGTGCCCACCCCCATTCTGGAAGACTGAAATGCATTCCTTTAAGGGAAATCGCACTGGTGTTTGGGGGCTTCGTCTTCCCCGTTTGCCTGGGTCTGTCCACCATGAGAATCTGGAAGCTTCCCCCAAAGGGAACTCGGCCCTGCTTTGTTTAAAAAAGAACACCCTATCCAAGCATGTCCATTATCTATTATGGACAGATCATGTGGAGATTTCTGTTAAGAGGCAATATTATTATTCATGGATTCAGCAGGTGACCAAAATCTGCTGCTCTCCAGGACTGCCATAGCCTGGCCTTGCACTTCACTGGCAGAGAACAGAGAAAGGCAGAGAAATGCAATCCTTCTGGAGGACATAGTGGAATGGAAGATGACTCAGTAAAGCAGGGAGCTAAACTCCCCTTGAAGAGAAGCCCTCAGTCAGCACCCTAAACACACACATGAAGTACCGCTGGGAATGAAAAGGTTGATGTCTCCTTCCTCAAAACTGAGCTCATGGTGAAAGGTATGAAAGAGAATTCCCCTGCACCCAGGAAAAGACACTGTCACGCCGCCCAACGACTGGACCCAGGAGCTCCAGCACCGAGTTCCAGCCCCCGGCAGCTGGTGCAGAAAGAACTGCAAGGCTGCAAGAGCTGCCTTGGAGAAGGAGTTTAGCAGGTGCTCTGGAGCTCACGGGGTGGAGGAGAGACCTGTGCCACCAGGCAAGGGTGTGTCCTGGGAAGCTCAGCCTGCCCCCACTCCTCTCCAGAGCACCAGTTACACAGCCAGCCGCCTTGCAGAACAGGAGGAGAGCAGAGCTACCTTCGCTCCATGTTCTCCTCTCCACATTGGAGGCCCGTAATCAGAAGGGTGCAGGTAGCCCACTCAACTGCGCCCTCAGAGACCATGAAGTTCAGATTCATCACTGATGGGAGAAGGCAGTCCGGCGTATTTGGAGGGCCCCAAGTTGATGAGCCCCAGGCTCTCATCAATGGCACCTCCCCAAATGGGATGGAGGTACCGAGTGGGGTGCCACAGGGTTCAGTCCTGGGCCCAGGGCTCTTCCATATCTTTATTCATGATTTAGATGAGGAAGTACAAGGAAAGGTGATCAGATTTGCAGATGATATAAAACTGGGTGGAACAGCAAACACCCGAGAAGACAGAACGAAGTTCCAGGATGACCTTGATCAACCTGAACACTGGGCTGAAAGCAACAGAGTGAGATTCAATAGGGACAAGTGCTCCAATTCCCCCACCCAGGAAAAAGAAACCAAAGGCATCGATACAAGATGGGGAACACGTGGCTCAACAGAACCGAAAAAGGAAAAGATCTTGGAGTAATTGTGGGCAATAGGCGATGCAGCTGCCAAAGGGGCAAATGCTATTTTGGGATGCATTAACAGAAGCATAAATTCCAAATCACGAGAAGTAGTGGTTCCTCTATACTCCTTTCACTCGTCAGACCTCACCTGGAATGTTGTGTCCAGTTCTCGGCACCAAGATTTAAGAAAGATGCAGAAAAGTTAGAAAGGGTCCAGAGGAGGCAACAAAAATGATTCTAAGTTGGGAACGGCTACAATGTGCAATACAGGGATGACGGCCCAGGCACGTCTGATGGGTTTATTTTAATTTCGGACATGCGCAGGACATTCCCGAAGCAACGCTCGAGGATTACGTGATGATTGTGACGCCCTCACCGCTTACCTGCTGGGGCCTCTCTCTCGCACATGTGCCCGTGCTCACTGACGGTGCAACAGTGATATTCATACCAGCCAATGAAAGGGATATGAAGAGCTGTGAGCACCATGTTAAGGTGCTAAGATAATTCCCAGACACTTCTTTTTGTGAGAGATTTCTAAGATCTGACTTTCTTGGAAGCTTATCTGCTTAAGACCACATGCCACACTTCAGAGATCCAGCAAAGGCGCATGGCAACAGCCGTCTTTGAAAAGGAGTGCAGAAGGAAGAGGGAGATGGCTTACACTTCTCAGCATCGCATCAGTGCGCAGCTTCAATGCGCCCTCTGCCCCTAAAAGCACCCATGGAAAGGAGAAGGTTGGTTCCCTGAAGCTTTCACCTCTGTGGCTAAGAGTCATGATGGAACCAAGTCTGTCCTACTTTGGGCACCCCGGAGAAGGCCAGACTCCCTGGAGAAGACCATCATGTGAGGGAAAGTCCATCAGGGAAGCCACAGCCGCCTTGGGCTGGGCAGAACCGGGCAGGGCCGACAGGGCAGGGCACTTCTGGCGGCACTCCTTCACAGGGCCCACCCTACGCTGGAGACAGCTTGATGGCATGCAGCAAAAGGTGCATGAAGGCTGTGACCTGGGCGGGGGTGCTCCCCCACTTCCTTGGTGCCACGGCTCTGGGCCCCTCTTCACCCTCTGCCGGCTGCAGAAGAGAACATCAAGGACCTTCCAGGCCTGAAACGTCAACATGCTGCATGGGTGGGCTTGGCCACGAAACCGCAGGGCACTGGCGTGAGACCCGCAACACCCAGCCGGCCCAGCCACTGGCCGAGGGGGCCGAAGCTGTAGCCCGGCACAGCTGGAGGGAGCAGGCTGGTGAAGCCGCCCGGTCCCTGGGTGGCGCCCCACGTGGCCGAGTGGCACGTACCTGTCGATGGGCTTGATGATGAAGGGAATCGCCGAGAGACCGACGGCTGTCGTCGCCCACTTCCTGACCGAGAGGGGCCACCGGGTCATACGGCCCATGAGGTAGAGGGAGGTGGCGCAGATGCGGTTGATGGTGAAACCGGGGATGGCCACGGAGGCCAGGGCCTGCCATACGAAGGTGTCCACGACGGCCACCGCTGCCCGCGAGGTCCGCCCTTCCACCTCGGGCTTCGCCTGTCGACCACGGAAAAGACAGAGGAGCTCAAAAGGCTGCACAAAGCCAGACTCAAAGGCACGAAGGCAGCCGACCTTCGTGGTGGCCTTTCCTGGACAGGCGAGCTCACCTGCGTGGAACAGAGCTGGGTTTATGTATGCCTTGTGTTTACCTGTAGCCATGGGGCCTTGCCGTTTATGGAGGCTCTTGTCTAGTTTTTAAGGATGATGGTGATTTCACATTCATGCCCTGTTTTTTTCCTCTTGCATGAAACTGAAGGCAGCCGACAAGGTTCTCTCCCATTTTAGCCTCACAACAATAACCTTTCAAGGTAGGTTAGGTGACGGGTCCATGAGTGCACAGTCACCCTGGGAGCTCTCAGGTTCAGATCTCCTGGGCTGCACTCCAGCCCTCCCACCACACACCCCACACCGGTGCTCATCAATGCTTGCCTCTGGCCTCCTGAAATGAAGCGCTCCCCCCAAGTCAGTAACTGGGTTCTTTCCCCATTTCCCCACAGAAATTCTGCTCTCCGTCCTCTCAGGGCTGCTCTTTGCTGTGGCCTTCCAGAATGCCCAGCAGGTAACTCAGGGGGGTGGGTGGAACCTACTGGAGAAAGGGCCCGATTCAAAGTTGGAGAAGCTCTTCGGCCCACCGCCTGCTGTGGGGACTGCCAGGGCAAAGGAGGTGGGGCCCACTCCCTCCGGGATGCCAGACTGCTGTGGGGCAAAGGTCTGTCTGCCAGCAACTAAGCCGGAGGGGGCATTTCAGCCTCTGAGGGTGGGGGGGAAGCTGCACAAAACGAGGAAAGCACCAGACACCCAGGGCTCCTGGACCAGGGCTATGGCCACCTGGGGAAGTCAGCGGGGCCCCAGGACTGCGGGGTTCCCACCACCGTTCAACTGGAATCCCTGGGGCCAGACCCCGGACACCCAGCATGCGAAGAAGGCCGGCCAGCACCGAATGGGCCCAGGCACGAGTCGCAGTGGCGGAAGGGGGAACCGGCCTGCCCCATCGTGTGGCCGCTTGGTTCCTCCCCGCCGCACTTTGGCACAGCAATGTAGCACTTCGCTTCCCGTCTCTGGCTACACTCTTCCTTGAAAGAAATGGACAGTTCAGCAAGGTGAGTGGGGGAAGGAATGCAGCTTGCTGGATCTCGGGATCCCCCGTGCCACCGTTGGCCCTGTGCTCAACACTCTGTGAGCAACCCATTCAAGCTGGCTGTCATCTCCCTTTTCTGGACTGGAGAAGGTTTTTTAAACCCCCATAAATTAGGTGCATTTTCTGTATGTCCTGCTAATAACACAAGGCTGAGGTCCCCAAAGAGGCCGGGTCAGTGGGCAAATGTAAAATGCTGAGGGTGGCCCAAGAGAGGGTGGCCATCTCTCGAAACGGCTCTTGTGGCAGGATGCCTTGGCCAGTGAGAAAAAGGATGAGTGGAGCCAGCCAGAAAATACTCGTTTCACAGAAGACAAACTGGGGAGGGGAAGGGACTGCTCCCTGCTCAGGACCGAAGGGCAAGCTGGGGCAGGTGTGTTCTGCACTCCAAACAGAACGACGCACGTTGGCCCTCAAATACAGATGGTGCCAGCGGGCAACCCAAGCAAGGAGAGGCGGAGAGCTGGTGGCCAGCAAGGGACGCCTCCATGGCTGCACCGCTCCAACAGGCTCCATGCGGGAAGCCCCGGAGGCAGGGCATATCCAGCAGCCGACTGTACTCACTGCAGCCGCCTTCTTGCCTTTATCCACCGCATCTGCCGTCACGTAAGCGGTTGCCAGTCCGTAGCTGGCCCAGACCACCGAGACGGGCACAATGGCCCTGAAGGACTCCCCAACCTCGTTAGCATAACCTGCAAGAGAATGGGCAAAAGTCAGCAAGGGCATCTGTGCGCCTGACGAGCTCCGCTCTTGAGCCCCAGAAGGCACTGCTTCAGCAAAGCAGACCAGCCGCAATATCCCAGTTGCTGTTGCTGCTTCTGGGCTGCCATCATGAGCCTGCCTGTCCCCCTTTCCTTTCCCAGCCCATCTAAACAGGACACTTCTGACATACGGTCTGTTATTTATGCTGGACGGGTTTGGTGTGATGCCAGGCACTGCATGAGAAAGCTGTCTGCAAGGAGCAGCAATCAAAGGGAAGGTTCCCCTGGGTTGTGGGAGCAGCTCTTGCAAATGGACGACCCAGCTACCAAAAGGGCTGGCTCCTCCCTCAGGGAGGTTGCGCTTCCTAGGGACCAGACTGTGGGAGCACCTGCCATTCATTGTTTGGGCCACTTGTTTGGCTTGATGCCAGGTTGCTGGATTGATTAATGTCCTTTACTGTGTCTGAGGGTGGGCTCCTGTGGAACATGGGACAGTGGGTTTTCTGCAGGCATTCAACAGCATATTGGATGAGATGGACATTGGTTGGACCCTGATTGGCTCTTATCTGCTTAATGGACAATGTCAAACCACAATTACTTGTTAAATTAAGGACCTGGAGTATTTTATATAGTTAATATTCCTACTTAATTATGCATGCATTAACTTTTCAGGCTCTCCTTTTTTTAGGATTAGGGTTAGGGTGAAGGTGAAGAAGCGTCCCGGCTCCGAGGACAGTCCGACATTGTTTGACCTTCCACAAATTGTGGGGACGTCTGTCATTCCGGATGGCTTTATATAAATTGGATGGATTATATAAATGCACAGAGGGTAACACTAATGATGGCCGTCAGTCCCGTCCGCCACATGCTGCCTCCAGGGTCAGAGGCCGTGTGCCCATGTACCCCAGTTGCTGGGGAAGACGGGTGGGAGAGTGCTGTTGCTTATGGATTTCCCTTGGGCTGGTTATCCTCCCAAGACCCTTGGCCTTGATCCAGCAGGCCTCTTCTGATGTGAAGCACCTTGAAGTGGAATTTGTTTTTCCAGCTTGACAGTATCAGCTTAAGTGGGTTGCTGTGAACGGGGCTCAGTGTTGCAACGGGCCTGAGGCACAGGGTTTGTGTCTTCACAGGCTGTGCTATTCCCAGACCAAGGACGCAATCAAGAAATCACCAGGACGAACAACCGCACCCGGTTCAATTACTGATCCCCTTTCAATGACAGCAAGCGGAGTGCGAGGGGTGGGGAGAGAGCCCACCCCTACAATGAGCTCGTCCAGAGGAAGGGATAAAAACACCACGATTACTTTAAATTAGCCTGATCTCTCTCACCTCCAAAATCTCACCTCCGTGGACTTTGCTGGGCCAGCTGTTCCTGGATTATATTTAGCTGCCCTGCACCAGGGCAATGTTGTCTTTTTGTGCTGCCCAACGCCCTTCAGGGAGCAGCTGCCTCCTCCTGTCCCCACAGAGACCTTCACAGGCTCCAGGGGGTCACCTTGCCCGCCCCCCCCCCCAACAACCAACGCAGCAAAAATGTCCCAACAGGCACTTTCCTCCCAGGCTCCTGCTTCTCAAATAGCCCTGTCAGAACCAAATGTTTGTGCCCTCCCATTTCTTTCTCAGAGCATCCCAAGCTTTTCGCTGCAAGTCTTTCGCTACGCAGACCCATAGCAAAGCGACATGGAACATTCAGGGCCCTGAATACCTAATAGAGGGAGAGAGGCCAAGTCTCCAGTGAGGCCTGATGTGCCATGCAGGGAAAGAGACTTCTTTTTTAAAATATTCTGAGGACTGCATCATTTGTACGGCAAGGACGCAGCACAATCTGGTGTCCCGAGGGGTTTCTTAATTCTTCCCCCACCTGAGGATTTTAACAAATTGCCAGTGGAGAAAGAACCACTCCCCCCAGTTATGCAGTGCAGATTGTGGGCTCCAGGAACGGCAATTTTGTGAAGCACGAGTCCGCGACAGAGACAACACATAAGAGCATCACATGTTCTTTGCCGTGCAACAGGGTCTGCCGCTTGCAGCTGCTGCAACGCAAAAACCTCAGAAAAGTGTGCCTCTGCCTGCAGCCCTTCCTGCCCACCATTTTCATTTCCCACAATGCCCCGAAGTGACAGGAGCCGAAATAGTGCACGGCAGCGTCTGGGCCACGGCGGCTGCATGCTTCCGTCAGTGCGCGCTCCGCTCATGCAGGCCCCTGCTGCCCCGCTGCTCAGAGGACACGTGCCAAGCCGGGTTGCTCAAAGCCAGTCTAGGGTGACTCCCGCAGTCGGGGCAGCTGGGCACTCGGACAGGCCACGCTTCCCTATCGCCCTGTGCACTGAGGCACTTATACACTGGCAGCTCTCCTTTCCCCAAGGGAGCTCAGGGTGGCACAAAACCTTCTCTCCATCCCATCCACACGTTATCTATAGAACAGCGAGATAAAAGCAGGTCGGCCCGAGGGCTTTACAGAGCTTCATGGCTGACTGGGCATCTCAGCTCATTCTCCAGTCCCACCCTCCTGGCCCACGCACTAAAGCACACGGGCCACTATACAGACAGGCTGAAGGCAAAGCTCCTTCAAACCCAAGGCAGTGTTCGGGGAGGCCCATTAGGACTGGAGCCCCGAACCCCTAGGAAACTGTCTGCCCAGCCCCCTGTGCTCCAGGGGCCGTTACTGGATTCTGGTGCACACAGGCACCCCGTTGCTGTCCCCAGTCTTTCTGCCTGAAATCCAGTGTCCCTCTGTCCTGCCCACATATCCCTTTTTCAGATAAGGGATCGCATCCCCCAGTAAATGCAACTTTTCTTTTAATCCTGAGGTACTCCTTTGTACCTAGCACCACCCCTGCTTCAAACCCCACAAGCATCTTTCTTCTTACAGCTGAAGAAAGATGCAGAGAAGCTGGAAAGGAGGCAAAGGGGGGGGCAGCAAGGATGATCTGGGGACTGGAAACAAAACCCCGTGAGGAGAGTGAAAGAATTGGGCATGCTTAGTCTTGAGAAGAGAAGGCTGCAAGGTCAGAGGATGGTACTCTGTAAGTACTTGAATGGCTGCCCCAGAGGAAGGACTGGATCTCTTTCCGATCATCCCAAGGTGCAAGACATGGAGTAACGGGCTCAAGTGGCCCAAAGCCAGGTTCCAGCTGAGCATCAGGAAGAACTTCCTGACTGTGAGGGCAGTCCAATGATGGAACCAATGCCCGGGGGGGGGGGCTCCCCCACCCTGAAGGCAGCTGGACAGCCATCCGGGAGGGATGGTTTAACCTGGAGTCCTGCACTGGGCAAGAGCGTTGGACCTGATGGCCTTCTGGCCCCATCCAACTCTCCTATTCTATGATGCTAATCCTATTGTTAGGACTTGGAGCCAGTATCCACCATCCAGGGTGGGACTCAAGCCTGAACAAGGACAGAGGGCCAGGCTCTGATATTTATTCCAGCCTGGCCCATCCAGGGTTCATACATCGGGTCCCTTTCTGTGCCTGCGCAGCCAAAGGGCAGGGCCAAGCAAGACAGTTGGCTGCCACTTTACATCAGCTCATGTAAATGAAAAGAAGCCCCAGGAGGCTGCAGTCCAAAGTGCAGGATGAGCCAAATGCACGTTCCCTCCAAAATTACATGGCTGTGCTTCCCTGCAGAGTGGAAAAGATGCGGGTCAGCTGGGTGTGATGGAGCTATACAGCAAAAAGAAAATCTATAGATTTTCGCTTGCTTTCCTAGGCCGGGCTTTCAAAACCTTTGGCTTGCTCAAGTTCCTCGGGAAACTCAGAGACGTGGAATAACCAGCGGGATGGAACAGTCGGAGAGGTGCGCCGGCAGCAGGGGAACCGGGTTCAAGCGCCCGCGACCGGGAGCCCACGGGGGACTTCGGGCCAGGCACCCACTCTCAGGCTAATCCACCTCACAGGGCTGTCGTTCTGAGGCTGACGTAGAGGGGGCAGATTATGCGGGCCCCCCAGAGGGAGAAAGGGCGGCGATGCCCCCCGGAACCAGCTCGCGGCGGCTGCGCCTCCCGGTGCGCGCGCGACGGCGCTCCCGCGGAAAGCCTCGCCGGCGCACGGGCGCCGGTCCTGCTCCTGCTGAGGGCGCCGGCCGGGGCCCGCTCGAAGAAGCCCCCCGCTGGCGGCGGGCAGCCGCCGGGCCAAGCGCGCGGGGCGTGGGCGAGCCGGCGCCCCGCTCCCCACCCGGCCCCGCGGCTCACTCACCGAGGTAGCGCACCCACGTGTCCCGGTAGAGGTCGCGCGGGGCCGGCGGGGCCGCCTCCCCGGCCCGCGCCGCCATCCCCGGCCGGGCTCCGCCGCGCCGAGCCGTCCCTCGGCCAAGCGCGCGAGCAGGAAGGCGCCAGCCGCAGGCCCCGCGCCCTCGCCGAGGCGCGCCGCCGCATGGCGCACGGCGCAGGCCACCGGCGGCCAATGGAGCCCCCGAGCCCGAGCCCGGCGCGCGCGCGGCCTTCCTACTGGCCTCGCGGCTGGGCGAAGGGCGGGGAGAGGCGGGCGAGCCCCGCAGGGGGAGGAGAGGAGGCCGCCTGCCGCCCGCCCGCCGGCCCAGCTTCCTCTCTCCGGAGAGCTCGAGCGCAGGCTCGCCAGGCGCGCTCGAGCGCCGCCAGGGCCTTCCGACGCTCCCGCAGGCAGAAGTTCAGCGGGTGACGCGCTCCAGTCTCCAAACTGCGGCTTCTGATACCGCGCTTTTCTGCGCAGGAGCAATCTTGGGGCAAACGGGCCAGCCGGGGCTGCGCGCCAAGGAACAGGCGGACATTCAACGGGCGAAGGCTCCTCCTCGGTGTTCGTTAGCACCGAGTCCCAACTTTCTCTTAATTTCTGTGTGGGTGACGGTTTGGTGCATAAAGTGGGCCGGCTGGAGCTCTTTGCCGCACAGCAGGCAGAAGTTCAACAGGGGTCAGCAGGATCGTCCTGCAATGGGGACAACTGTGTCTGTTGGATGTGTGCGTGTCTCGAACAAAAGCATTCCGCTGCCTCACGGTCCCAGACACTTAAGGTAATTTTTCATGCAGACAAGAAAAGATGATTTGGAAGGGCCAGAAGCCATTTTTTGGGTGTGCTTTGGATCCCCATTTTTAAGGAGAGGTGTACAGAGGGCTTCTTTTCAGATTTCTCCCCCACCCACACATGATTTTGCTGTATTCCGTTGAACAGGCACAAAACTTTAAACCTCACTGGGAAACACCTTGCGGTTTGAATAGTTCCATCAGTGAGTCAACAGGTGAGTATATTCATATGTGTGTTTTTAAAAAACACAGTAATTTTGGTTCATCACCAAAACAAAAACAACATCAAACTCTCCAGACTTTACTTTGTTGTTTAGTCGCCAAGTCACGCCCAATCCATCGCGACCCCATGGACAACATTCCTCCAGGCTCTTCTGACCTCCACCATCCCCTAGAGTCCACCCAACCCCACACCCACCGCCCCAGCAACCTCATCCAGCCACCTCATCCTCTGCCATCCCTTCTCCTTTTGCCGTCAATCGTTCCCAGCATCAGGTCTTCTCCAGGGAGTCCTTCCTTCTCATTAGGTGGCCAAAGTATTTGAGTTTCATCTTCAGTATCTGGCCTTCTAAAGAGCAGTCAGGGTTGATCTCCTCTAGGACTGACCGGTTTGATCGCCTTGCAGTCCAAGGGATTCGCAGGAATCTTCTCCAGCAACACAGTTCAAAGGCCTCAATCCTTTGGTGCTCAGCCTTCCTTATGGTCC